TCATAGCTACACCGAGTGACCGATCGCTTTGGAACTTTCAGTGATTGCTAAGAGCAATGGTATGTACAAAATGTATATCTCAGAATTTTGATATCGATGACCTAAGCTAAGGTCAATTTTGCGACCTCCCCACATTATAAGTCAATGGGAGAAAACTGAAATGCGCCGCTTTTGGACGAAAGTCATTATAAACACTCTCAAACACGGAATTACAAGTAACTTAGGCACACTAAACATGAAAATAATGTCTGTGACCCCTGTTTATGCCCCTGAGGTCATCTCAGGTCACGAATGGTATCTAACAGTTCTTCGCAAATAACTTTTGATAGAGGCATGCAAGTGCCAGGAAAACACCTTAGCTGTGTTCAGCTCGACGATACGAATCGACTGATATGCAACATGACCATTTTGTCAGTCATGACCTTGACCTGAGGTCAAATTTTCAAGTTACCTTTCAAGGTCAAGTTATATTTCATTTACCTAATGCGTCTTGACGAGAGAAACACGATGCCAGTAAAAGTAACCTCGTGCAAGGCTTTGGTCAAGAGCTATGACAGAAAAACTGCTCCCAAAAATCGGTTATTTTGCAGTTTTTACCCCTGCAGGCAAATCGCTGACGTTAGGTCAAATCTGAGAGAATTGCTCAGAAAGGGAAGGGCGTTAATAGGGCTATCGAATGCGCTTTTCCGCGGCGCTGTAGCTCTTCTGGTAGCTCTATTGGTTCCCGAGTTATGCGTTGGCTTCTTAGAAATTGTCGATATTCGACTTGAAAATCGGCGAAATTTTGCCTTCAAACCTTTGGTGACCTGACCTTTGGCCTGACAAAAAAAAGTGCCTGAAGTGATTTCGTCATTATTTTCGGCGCTTTTTCGAACGCTGCCTTCCGCGTACCGCTACGTGGCCCAGGAGCCGAGCTAGAAGGGGGAGGGGTGTTCAGCCCCCCCCCCCCAGCAGGGCGTGGAATCGAGGACCCCCAGTGCACCGTGTTCCCAGCCGCCGATTGTAGCTAAGTTGGGCATTCGGCGGAGAGTGAATGTCGGAACTCGGAAGTGTGAATCGAAAGTAATTCATCTTTGCTCCCGTGAGGGGAAGTGTTTTGTTCACTCGAGTGTGAGCAAAAAGTTTCTCGTTTTTCGTGTGAAGGGAAGCGCTGCAAACGCGAGCAAAAATTAAAAAATGTTTAACGGAACCAAAAGTTTCGCACGGCATAGCGGCAAGGGATCCCTTAGGATAAGCTTCGTACTTCCAGGCCATTTCAGGCCACTCACGGTCAGTTTGGACTCTCAGAAGCCTGCTTAGGATCCCAATCGGCGTGGGTCACCCCAAATATTTACGTGTAGGTATGTGGTGCTTTAGGGCTTTCTGAGCCCAAGGTGGGGCTCTCAGAAGCCAGTGTGGGCGGCGGGCGCTAAGCGACTAGGCCCAGGCCCCAGGCGCTCAGGGTGAGCTCCATATGTGGAAGGCTTTTGATGTCAATACCTACATACATACATGCATACATACAAGACCCGTGTGGCCCTTCAGAGGTCTACGTATGTATAAGATCCTCAAAGATCCCTGTATGGGCCCTTTCAGAGAACATGGACACCAGTGGCATAGGCGGCGGAACGGGGAGGGTACCGGGACACCGTATCCTCTTTGATTTAGGCATTTTAATATTAGCCCAATGGGCGTTGCATGGAAAGAATGGGACCAAAAGTCGGCACTCGGCAGTGCCCCCCCCCCCCCCTTAATTGAAGGTGTTCGCCGCTACTGACCAGTGGGACTCACAGAGGCCGGTTTGGACCCTCTGAAAGCTTCTTAGAGCTCAGTAGAGCTCCTTATGGAGCCTGTGTGAAAAGCAAGCTCATGAGCCCTGCGGCACTTGAACAATACTTGAGCTTGTCGCAGACATTTGACGAGAGTTGAGAAAGATCCCGAAGATTTCGTGTCACGCTTTGAACGAAAATTATGCGTCAGCACTCCAAAACTTATGAAAATCAGCTATAAAATGTAATAAAGAACCAACTAGGAACAGGGAATGAATCACAGCATTGACATTTCCGAGTCTGGAGTCGGAGTTTTGAAGATTTTGGCGACTGCGACTCCGACTCTAGTTTGAACTGCACGCTCCAACCGAGTATGACCTCACAGGCATTATCAGAAATAGTACCCCCATTTTTTCCCGACTCCTAAATCTCATCGGATCTGTATTGATCTCAGGGGGTGCCCGGTCCGAGGTTGGGGGGGGGGGGGCGGCAAGCTGCCCCGCTTGCCCCCCCGTGACGACGCTAATGGTGACATCATACATTATTACCGTACTTAATTTCAATAAGGCTGCATGAGACGCCCTCCGAGTTTTCGTCAAGCTACCGACCAAATTTAGCTAGTGAGTCGGGCTCAGGAATAGGCACCAATGAACCCAGAACTCATTTGGACTTTTTTGACCCCTGTGACGTCATCTTTGCCTGACCTGAAAATGACCTTTGTAAAAATCGTGGACCTTGCCCGTGCGTACCCCATGCCGTTTACCTACCGCTTGTCGCTATATTGCTTCGTTCTCAAGATCTCAGGGGGGGGGGCGGTCATCCGCCCCCCGTCGGTTCTTAGTTGGCGCAGACCCCCGTCGGTGCGTGGGTTAAAATCGGCTTTCAGTCAATGCATCTCGTAATTGAACACACGCTCGTTTTCCTCGAAAATATGGGAAAACCTTTATGAAAAAGATGGGCGTCGCCCTCACCTGGTCGGCGACTGTTGCTGACTGCAGGAACTGACTGTGCAGTGGGGGCCACTCACCTCCAGGCACTGAGGCTGGTGAATAAGCAGTGAGTTGGCACCGAACGGCTTCCCGCACACGTAGCACGGCTCCGGCCGCGGCGGCGCCGCCGCCCCGTTTGTCACGCGCTGCTGCTTCGCCATCGTGAACGCCAGCTTCTTGCGCATGGCGTCCTCGCGCGCCTTCTTGCTCTTCTCCTCCTTCTTGAGGTACTCCTCCCTGAGTCGCTGCTGTTTGAGCCGCTGCTCCTCTTCCAGCTGCTGTTTGCGCTGCGCCACCGGGTCGACGATGGGCGGCTGCGGCGCGCCGCCGCCGCCGCCGGCCGCCCGGTACCGGATCGCCACCGGACGCTGGATCGACATCCGCTTCTTGGAGGGCCGCTTGGCGCGGCGCGGCGGCTCGGCGGACGGCTCGGCCGGATGGCTGTGAAACCGCTCCGGATTCTCCGGCTTGCCGCACGACATGCACGGCCGCGGCACGCCGGCCTTGGCGCGCGGCGCGTGAAACAGCTCCTCGAGGGCGCGCGTGAAGTTGGGTAGCCGCCTGCCGAGCTTGGAGGTAGCCTTGGTCGCCTTGGCGCGGCCATCGGGTGATATGACGGCCGCCGAGCGGTAGTCGATGTTGGGCACGTTGAGGTCGCGCGAGGAGGGCTGGCTGAGTTTGATGGTTTGCGGCCGGCCGGCGCGCTCCTCGGAGGCGGCGCGCTCGGGCCGCTCCCGGCGCGCGCGGTTCTCCGCCGCCAGCTGGAGCAGTTCGTTGCAGCGCGTGGTCGACATGTCCAGCTCGGCCTTCTTCTCGGCGTCGAGCACTCGCGGCTTTTTCAGGGTGGCAGTGCGCGGCCGCGAGACGCGCGGGCTCTGCTGCTCCTCGAGCGCAGCGCGCAGCCGGCCGTTGCTGCGCGGCCAGGACGAGTTGAGAGACGGCTCGGCGGCCGGCGGCGGCTGCGGCTCGGCTGAGCGCTCCGACGCCGGCAGCGTGGCATTAGCGGCCCGCCAGCGCTCCAGGCAGCGCGTCACGTGCAGGGCCACAGAGCGCGAGCCGAACTGACGGCCGCACACGTAACAGTCGACGTAGGCCGGGGGACGAGCCGGCGACTCGGCGGGGGCACTGGGGACGGCGGCAGCCGCCGGCATGGCGGCTGGTCTTGAGCCGGTCCAGCGAGAGGCGCCGCTGCCTCCGGACACAGCGCCACCACAGCTCCAGGTGAAATCAACAACGGAACAAAACTGATCCTCAAGCCCTTAAATCAGCTAGTAAACTTACTTTTACACCTTTGTTCAGTATGTGATGCCTCCACACGGTTAAATTTCGCACCACAGCGTCCCACTCCCAAGTCAGCGTTATCACTATAAAAGCTCTTTTCTCGTTGCGCCGTGTCACGAGTCCCTCTGTCTCCACTGGGTGGTCCGCGGCTGGTGACAGGGCGTCTGTCGTGTCCCCGGACGGGACGGCTCGCCAATCAGTCGGTGCCTGGCGGCCGGACGCCCCACACTGACGGCCGGCGGCGGCGGCGGTCGGCGGCCGCCGAGACGGTCGATACAATCACCCAGGTGAGGCATACAACACAAACAGAGCGGCTCGCCACGGCCAAAGACGCCCGCTCCGTGTCAGAAGTGGCCCTGACCGTGCCGGCCGGCGAAAATGATGCTGTCACGCTAAGTTCACGGCTGAAGGGCCCAGCCAGTGTGGCGTAAGGAAGAGACCCGACATGCCTTTAGAAATCCCGTAAGTGGAAGTTTGGAACCGTCTGAGTCCAACAGATAACCAATTCATCAACCTAGCGATAGTTTTACCAAATGCATTATTTTGATAAACAAAATACTACCTATAGCAACCAATTTAGAACAGTGTCAGCGCAAAACCGTACTACATTGAAGTTAGTTCCGTTAAAGTTCCTAGATGGCGGTAGCGTCAGACGCCTGAACGGATACTGTGCCGCATAGCTCTTAGCTCTTTCACTGGGGCACTAGATGTCGGTGTTTCAAGCCCCTGAAGTTATACTGTGCCGCAGCACTCTGCGTCGCTTCTTACCGACCAAGGGGCACGGAAAGCTGCGAGCACGCGGCTCCGCGTAAACACAGAAAGCTCAGACGGTTTATCGGCCTAATTTAGGCTCTTCGTCAACATTATGTGATGCGAAGCTATCCTCGGCCACGCAAAAAGGCCGGAGCCGAGTACGGACTCTGGCGGGACTTAACGCGGTTCTGCCACTGTACCAAGCATCAAACCAAGAAAAATCCAAGTATTTTGCCACAAACATGTGTAGTGTATTGATGGAGCATGATCATATGCTCCAGTCATTTGTAACAATAAAAAATCGGATGTTGACAACCGATCCGAGCAAACCGATACTGTTCACCCACAATTTGACATAACGGCATTAAAAAACAGAGGTGATTAAAATTCGGCGTATCCGAGCTGAGGTTCAGCCTGCAGTCGCTGTCAAACGACCGGACGAATTCCAATCACTAGCTATATAGGACGTCTGTCTCGGGCTGTGTCTGGCCTGAGCTAAGTATGAGCCAATTTTGTCTCGGATGTGTCAGCTCACCACTTCAGCCACATACCACGAGGCATCACGTAAAATGACGTCATCTGTGCACATGTCTCGGAGATGTCTCGGAACTGAAGTCATTAGGCGACTGAATGCTTTAAAACAAACTATGGTGCAGAACTATGGTGTTCGACCTGGCTGGAATTCAGATATCCCAAAACGAAATCTGCCAGAAAACGCTCAAAAGCGCAAACTTACACGTACAAAACGTCAAGCATCAGGCACCAAGTTTCTAACACAGGTACAATCCTAGTCCACACATATTCCACGCACACACACGTCCATCTGCGACTATGAAGCCCCGCCCCCCCGAGCTGCATTGAAAGACGCACCCACCGCCCAGCGATCTCTCCGACCTTACACAGGCACCAGCCACTGCCCACTCGGGGATAAACGAAGGAACAACGTACTAAGGTTATCAATCGTCGCACCTTGGTCACCCCAGTCGGAACGGTCGGGTCATCACGCGCGACTCTTGGTGGCAATGAACGGGCAGAGCACATGAACGGGCACAAAGCACACTTCTCGATATGACCAGCGGATACATCGCACAGACGGGCTTCTGCAGCTCCATCGAGCAAGCTCGCGACGCAATATGATGCGAAAACGAGGTTCGCGACGAAAAATAAATACGATACCTACCATTAGATCAAGCCTGGGTCTTATTCCAAAAGTTCGCTACCAGGCACCGGCCTTCTTCAAAGCTCGCTTCGGTTGATGAGACATCGTAACTTCGTAAGTTCACCGGTAACGGCAACAGCGCCCATGAATTGCTAATTTAAAACGAGTAGAAATGAACACGATACATGTAACTAGATAGCATAGAAAATATGCTACATGATAGATAAAGGTGAATATTAAAAAAATTAGTGTCCGGTGACAAATTGGATCAAACGTGACAAAACAGGCTACTTTTCGCTAAAACAGGTCGAGATAAAACCAGCTAAAATTGTCGGCTAGAATGCGCTTAAAACAGCACAAACAGCCCCATCCACCCACCCAGGCCGACCATTTGTACGCGGCACAATCAGGAGGACAGCACCTCCGTCTGGGTTTCGATGAGATCGCCTCTCGCTGGGGGCCGGGTCAGTGAGCTCAGCACGAGCTCGGTGGGAGGCCGCGGCACCAACGCACCGATGAGGTAACTGATGCACGCGTCAGTGGGCGCGCGCTCCCGGTCGCTCTCGAGTCCCGTCCGACCGTTCTCAGGCACTGGAGTCAGTTGAGCGTCCGTCGGGCTGTCGGGCCGACCGGCCCTGCCTCAGTGGCTCCATCAGCAGCGGAGTAGCAGTGACGGTAGCCGGATCACAGCCCCACCGGCGTCAGTCATCGCCAGAGACTGGGGGGCGAGCTCCACTGCAGCGCTGGCCCGGCGCCGCGTCGGTCCGTGGTAACACATACCACATACCACAGTGTCCGCTGCACCAGCCGACTCCTTCTGCAACTGCATCACCATATCACCCGGACGCACCCACCCACTCCACCCAGCACCAAGTCCCGGCGGCGACGCGGCTACATCCACAGTCCGGCGTAGCAGCCGCGCACGTCCACGCTCAGCGGGCCGCCGGCGGTGAACAGTCGCGTGCCGGACGCGTCGTAACAGTGGGTGTAGATGGCCGGCATGTGGTCGACCTGGTGCGCGCCGCCCGCCGCCGCGTCGTGGAACGCCGGCTCGTCAGCGCGCGGCGACGACTGTGGACAGACAGTGGGATCAGTGTTAGGACGAAGTCCACCTCAAATAGTCAGCTGGCAAGGACGGCATGATAGCGACAGTAATTGGAAATTTCCATCGGCACGATACAAGACGTTACGTAAAATAGCTACGCGTTACCACGTTGCCTGGCGGCATCGATTATCATTATTTTCGTCCAACACCCATTTCCTGGGTAGCATAATGTATCGGTGTCACAGAAATGGCCGACAGCGCCAACACAGGGTTATACCTGTCAACAGCTCAATGGCCAAGAGCCATTGAAGCAGGCTCGTGGGTCCCGCGTCAGTGGGCTTCATATACCATGCACGAACAATGAAAGCCCATACAGGCACACACCCGCTGGGTAATCGCTCAGCACCACTACGTCAACCGCCTAGGAACGGGCGCGCACAACAAATCCGCAATCGATACGCGGTGCCTTTGTCCTGCCAGAACTGCGAGCGAGACCCGTTCCCATCCGTGAGTCCACAAAGGAGCGGACAACAGCGGGCGGCGGCGTGGTCGGGCACAATTCACGCCGGTGCGGTGATCGGCCGGGCTGCATAGTTAATAATCGCACCGACAAAACCCGCCGACACCGCCCCGAGTAACAGAGAAACACACAGGTGACCGTCGGCCGGCCCGCCACTCACGTGAGAGGCTGGCGGCGCCCGCGGGCACGCCCCACAGCCGTGCACGCCAGCACCGAGGGTCGATATTCGACCGGCCGCCCGAGGTCAGCCTCCGACAGGTTTTGTCATTCTGTTTGCCCCAAGGCCAGTCGATCTTATTCTTGCATGCACCTTGCGTGGCGTGTGTCGTTGAAAGGCAAATTTACACGGGGCTTCAAAACATCTCCACTTTCAATATTAGTTCAGGTTCACAACAATTTCAGTTGGGCCCACCGCACATTTTTAGACACAGGAACGACTCAACACTCTCAAACACTAACTAGGAAATGCCCCTACCTCATACCCCACAAAACCTTTATATGGCATACACCGCCCCGCGAGAACCCCACCTCCCGTCAGCCCATTGCGTCTACTCACCGCCCATCCTGACGCTGCTTTGAGGACGACCGCGCGGCCCGAGCTGACCCCCGAGTCCAGGTACTTCTGGGCTCGCAGGTCGTAGAACATGAGCACGGCCGTGCCCGTGCCGATCGTCAGGATGTCGCCGTTAAAGGACAGGGACCGGATCCCTGTCGGCCGGCGGACGGGGCGGGTCATGGCCCATGGGTAATGACGCGTATGGGATTCGAAGGGCGCAAAACGCTAATATATTCGGCATCCTTATTGACTAAAATCTGTTGAGGGAGAAGTCATGGGCGGGAAGCCAACTTAGACCGTTCACAGTTTCACACAATACCCATTGCAAAATGGAAGCAAGTCCACATATTATGATGGGAGTACACGATAAAAATAATCTGGCACTTCACTCAAATAACCCATCAAAACACCCCCAGTGTAGCACAGTCTGACTAAGAGCAACTAAATGTTCCCTGCATCTAACACTGACTAACCCGCTTCACATTCCAGTCAAAGCTCTCCACTTACCGCAGCCGTGGTATTTAGCGGTGATCTTTTTGAGCACTTTGAGCGACTTGGAGTCGAGGATGGTGGTGTGCGACTTGGAGCCGACAGCGTACATTTTGCAGTTGTCGCCCAGCGCCAAGCACACGTTATCCATCGAGTGGGGCAGCTTCCTGGACAGCTTCTGCTTGAAGGCGCCGGCGTCGAACAGGTGCACGTAGGCGTTCAGCGAGAGCGCCACCAGAGACTGGTCACGCTGGTTGTACGCCAGCGAGCGGACCTGCCGAGGGAGGGAGGCGTGGGGGTTCACCAGGTGGCAGCAGCGTGACACCAACTTCACACAACGCATTCAGTTGCTGGAGCCTGTGAACAGCAAATCAAGGCTCTTGGCAATTTCACCGAGAGTCGTGATTCGTGATAGCTTTGTCAGGACATCGTTAATGGGGTATCAGGCCAGATTACTAGAACTCATGCCGCACATTTATGTAATCCCCACCCGGGCTGACGGAATCCCATTCACAGGGGTGACCGGCCGGGGCGGAGAGGTCGCTGACCCCGGCAGGTCGGCGAGCGCGCCCCCTCCCCGGCGGCGGGTGCGTGGTGGGTAATCCGACTGGACTGACACGCCCACACCAGCAACAGGCGACAGGTCAGCGACCGGATTACACCGCTAATACTGCCCCCACCGGTGTGCCGACACGACAGACAGCATAACGAAGACGAGGGGCGGCAGATTCGGGAACTGGGAAGACTTATGGAAACACAACTGACAACACGGACAACACAATAAACCAGTCAAAACGGGCACAACCAGCAACTCACAGCTGCACAGCCCAACGGCCGAAACGAATTATACAACCCTCAGCAAGCAGTATGGACAGCATAGCGGCCCAACCAGTGAAAACGGAAACACAACCAATAACACGGACTGAACAGAGAACAGCCAACCAGCCAGACTCTCAATCAGCGGTACCTTGTCGGCGGTTTTGCACTTTTTGGTGGCCACAGCGGTGACGCGGCTGTAGGAGGGCGGCGCCTCCGGGTCCGGGTCGGGCTGCTCGTCGGGCACGCGCCACAGCGAGACGTTGGTGTCGCGGCCGCCGGTGGCCACGTACTGGTCATCCAGCCAGGCCGTGTCGTACATCCAGTCCTTGTGACCGTTCTGTGGGCGGGCAGCGGGGAGGGGTAGGGGTTATAGGGGCTGCTGAAGAGTTGGATTGTAATTGGACTGGAAGAAGATGGTGAGTGAGCGACAATTCATGCCCCATCTACATTCGAATTGAAGAAGACAAGGACAAATGCACACCATCATGTTACTATGAATAGCTGGCATCGTTTTAAACTGTAAGTGAAACAGAGTTACCTACTGGTCTGATCTATGTTTTAGCCAAGAGTAAGAACTGTCACTTTTTCTCACATCCAACTAGCCAGGCTAAGCACATTTTTGAGCGTGGAAATAAATGCGACGATAAACATTCCAGTTGATCCCACAATTCCTAGCCAGGGAGCCATGTGCCACCATTTCACCCCACCCTGACCCAGCCTTCGCTCCCATTCCACCCCTCCCTCCCCGTCCCCGCGGCGCACCTCTCCGACACAGACGGGGTCCAGTGTGGGCAGTCGGTACACGGCCAGGTCGAGACTGTGCCGCGCGCTGGTGGCCAGCAGCGTGCGGGACGGGTTCAAACTGAGCGCGTACACGCCGCCCGTCACCTCGCTCGGAGGAGTAGACGAGCGCAGCATGGGGATGTTGTCGATCCGCCGCGTGCGCAGGTTGTACACCAGGATCTGCCGAGGGCGGGGGAGGGCGGTAGGGTCACATCACATATCGGGGACGTGCTCATAAGAACGGCGACGATAGGGCACGAGCATTTGTTAACGGTAATGAACAGTACGAGGCCTGTAAGAAAGCCTCCATCCACTGCCAACAATCACTCAAAAACAAACCATTATTGAAATGACTTCAGAGGGCCAGGTGATGTGAAAAGTCATGAAGTCTAGATCGAAAGTTCAAAAATGCTTTACACAGAGCAAAATCCACAAAAAACTCCATCTGCCCATGAGGCAACCACACTTGTGGGTAAGAAACACACTATGAACCACACCATCTGCCCAGTGCCCACCTTATTACACTTGGTGCCAAACACCACCTGATTGTCGCTCAGCCACGAACTGCAGAACACCTTGTTGTAGTTGTTCATCGGGATGAGCCGCTCTCGCATCATGCTGTAGCTGAGCAGGTGTTTGGTGGCGTACTCGCGGACCAGTGTGCACGGGTTCAGCCGCTGCAGACCGCTCTGCTGCGTCATGTGGAAGTCGACGAAGCTGCGCGATGTGGTGTCGTAGCGCTCCCTGGTGTCGGCCCCCTGATCCTCATCCTCGCTGTCCGAGTAGTATATGAACTCCTCCGGCTTGCTGCTGGCGCCCCAGCTGTCCGACTTGATGATGCTGACATTGTCGGGCTGGGTGAACGGTTGCCGGATGCCGGCAGAGGGCGGACGCGAGCCCACCACCGGCCGGCGGCGCACCGTGGCCATAGCGCTGCAGCTGGGACGCCCCGCTGGAGGGGTCACCGCTGACTCAGTGCCGGCTACCGCTGGATACGGATCGGCCACCAGGCCACCCGCCACACAGACGTTACCCTCCTCTCAATAGCCGACCAGGGAGGCCAGATGCGGTTACCACTGCAGCAGGACCTTCAGCAATAACCAGCGGATAGGTGAACCAGGTCAATACTGTTCCAGCTGGATCAGTGAGGCAGCCGAACCTGAAACCATAGCAAATGGCACTCAGATCATTGGTGAGTAGACGCGTCAGCAGATTTGAATGCTAGGCTCTAAAATAGGGATGTGGAAGCTGCACTTCAAATCTGGTACCAGAGAGCAAAGACATCTGACCAGCAATGAACTTAAAACTTCTGCATTTTTGACCATCTGGGTGGGCAGGAAGGCACACCTACCTGCCTACCCTGTAAAAAAGAGCGGTTGAACTAAGACTTCAACTGAATGGCATTACTATCGCTAAGGTTCACATGCTTTTTGAAGTGATAATTTTGTTGCTTTCCATGTTTTTCAATGTTCTGAATCTAAAAATGCTGCTCACTGGTGCAGCAAATAGCATGATAATACATTGAAGAGAGGTCACCCGACCCCACCTTATCTGGCCCAAACCAGCTTTGACTTCTGCCAGAGGCAGGTATTAGGTCTTAGATAGGTCGCTGAGTTGGGTTGGGCTAGCTTAGGTTGGAGTAGATTAGACTGAGTTAATTCAGACGGTCCATACTCCATACTGCAAAGGATGGCTCGCAGGTCGACAAGGCGCACCGGGCCAAATTCAAACTCCGCACCAACCCTTCAAACAGAGCTGGAAAATCCGACCCAAAGTGGGTTAAGAGTCCTCCACACTGAACCCAAAAATGACCATTCTTAACCCTATTAGTGGCAGGCTCCTGGCTACCCCTATTAGTGGCAGGGGGGGGGGCTGTTTACGACCCCCCCTTGATATCTCGAGATCTAACGGGCCGATTTTCAAAATTCAAACGGCATTCGATTTCGCTCAACGTGATCTACATTTCTAAAAAATAAAAATTAAAAAATGTCAATTGGGGGGGTAGAGGGGGGTAAAAACGGGCAAATTGCAGATACATTTTAGACTGTTTATCACGGCCAGGTTTCTGAACCAATCTTAACGCAACTTTTGCCGATCGATAGAGAATGAACCAGGAATTCACATGGATCCTAAAAATATGCATTTTCAAAAATCATAGGCGGATACAGATCATTGAGATTTGGGGTACACAAAAAGTATAGTAAATAAGGTTTTTGTTGGTACTGTTTCTAAAAAGGGTGGTAATGGTCTTGTTATGTTACAATTTTCTTATGAGAGAGCGACTACAATTGTATTGGTCATGCATAGGCGGTGTCAGGGCACCTATGTTGGGAGGTAAAGCATAACCCCCCTTTTTGGACGCCTGGATCCGCCTATTATAGCAAAAACGTGTCAAAAGAGGATGCACAATAACTGTATATGTTATCACATGATGCCTTTCATTCACTGTTCGTAAAACTGGTGCAGCGTCGTGATCTTCGCCCAAATGACTCGCTTCACGAATAGGACCCCCCAATTCCCAGTGCTCTGGAGCCGCCCCTGGTAAAGTTATGAACTTGAAATTTTCAGGGAATGTGCCCAATTTAGTTTTAGGAAAAGTCAGAAAGTTTCAGCATCGTAGCTTCAGCGGTTTCGGAGATATTCCCGAAAAACCTGAGGGGTGGATGAAAACAACCCCCCCCCCCCCTGCCACTAATAGGGTTAATCTATAATGATCTCAATTAATAATACCAGTAAAACGCCTTTTGGGCGAAGAACGAGCGAGCGAGATAGTGAGCCCTGCACGTGCGGAAGGGCGAGAGGGTACTTTCAACGGGCTTGTGCAAAGCACCCTTCTAACCGGTCGCTAGCGGTGTACCAAATTTGAACGCAATCGGCCCAGCCGTTCCTGAGATCTGGAAGCGGCATTCTGCACGTGCGCACGTGCAAACGGGGTCCAAACTGACTTTTGCACGGCACCCTACTAATTGGTCCCCAACCGTGTATCAAATTTGAGCGCGATCGGCCCAGCCGTTCTCGAGATCTGGAAGCGCCCTCTGCACGTGCGCACGTGCAGTAGCACCCTAACCGCAACACATGGGAATGCATTGCCTGGTGGGTGCCTACCTGTATGCCAAGTTTCAGCGGAATCGCCCCAGTAATTACAGAGTTATTGAAATGGGAACAAATTTGGCACCTCTTCTTTTTGTATTTTGCACGTGCAGTGGGGGTCACTCACAAAGAACAAGGGTATCCGACCTTTGGTAGAATGGATGCAGCTACTCTACAAAAATTACCGCAAGACAATCGCCCAAGTGCGGCTGCTGAGATATGAGCCTCTCAAAATCACTACTTTTGCAAAACAGCTTGAACACCCTTGACTTTTCACGTGGCACGTGCCACGGCGGTCACTGAGATGTATCAAAAGTAGTCAATTACGGGGTAGTAGGGATGGCCGGGCTACCTAGCAAAAAAGACCGCAGGCCAATCAGTCTAGCGGTTGCTGAGATATAAACCTCTCAAAAGCGTTACAGGCCGGGCCGGGCCGCTCATAGTGAGATTTTTCCGTTATATTGAAAAGACTCGCTTCGCTCGCTGCGCTCGCTCACTCGTAATGAGCCGCAAGCGTGCCGTCGCCGTAGCATAGAAACGAAAAATAGGCACGCACCGCATGAATCAAACAAAAGAGCATGTGACGCCAATACAAGAACCATATCCAGAGCCTGCCCTTGCAATCCATTCAGGGTAATAGTTGTGCGATGTACCATGGTTACCCCATGAATGGTGTCGACAATGCCATTTAGGTAAACAACTTGGTAAGATGTCAGGGCCCCCGCCCCAGTTATAAAAGTAAAAATATGAAAGTCGAAATGTGAGCCCATTACAAGCATGATTTTCAACGTCACTCGTTAGCTCATTAGCCGTGACAAACAAATCTGATAGGCAAATCATTCACAGCGGATTTGCCTACTTGAGCCACGGCAAAAACGTGGTCCTCAAAGCCTGCCATCATCCATGCGCATCTCGCCCTACCACCGAGAGCGGAGGGACAACGCCAAACCCTTAAGTTACAAGCCGAACGCATCTTGTTTACTAATGCTGCATAACGCAACAACATCAGCTTCTTTCAAAACGAATTATTAGCTGCGTCGAACCTACCCGATAAATTGTTCACAATGTATTATTTGACTGCTTGCAGCGGCAGAGCAGTGGTCATCAGCCGTGCACATCTCGAGTCCGTCCCATCTGCCGCGCTTATCTTGATTTCTTCCACCATACCAGCCACCGCCGGGCGCCGGCGCGGGCGCCTCACGGAGGTGAGTGAGCGCCCGCCATGCGGATGAGTGGGACGCAGGCCGTGACATCCGCCTGGGTGGTGCGTTTCATGTTGTAGCAGCGCAAACTTGCTAGGTACCGAGGACAGTCGAGTGTGGGAACATGGGTTGGGCTGTATCATCCCTCTCCTGTCCGCTGTCCCATGCCACTCTAAGGCTCCGGGGGGAGGGGGGGGGGGCGGGGGTATGCATCTTACTTACTTACTTAGAAGTACAGAATTTAGATAAGCCACTTGGCATTTATGTCCGTTCCAGTCGAGTTGCTTGGTGTGAGTTTTACTTGTCTGTGTAGTGTGCACGGTATCGTGTATACGAGATTCGCCCAATGGGTGTCTAGGCGATTCTTGGACTGGTTGAGTGTAGACGCGTCGACGACTTCCGATGGCAGGCCGTTCCAGTCGTTGATAACCCTGACGGAGAAGGCGTTGCGTCGGACTCTGGTGACCGCATGCAGCTTCACCAGGCGCCACGAGTGGCCTCTGGTTTCACGGGCGGTTGAGCAGTCGAAGAAGTCGTGCGATTCCAGGTTGATACCACCATGAAGCATCTGGTACACCGCTATCATGTCACCGCGCCTCCGACGGTAGTACAGGGATGGCATCTTCAGCGCCTGCAGTCTCTCAGTGTAGGGCAGATGTCGCAGCTCCGGAACCTTCTTGGTCGCCCGCCGCTGGATGCATTCCACACGTTTCTGATCCGTCCGGTTGAAGGGGCCCCACACAATGTTCCCATATTCAAGGTGGGGTAGGACCAGGGTATTGAACAGCAGGGGTAATGTAGACTTATCGAACAGCTGGAACAATCTCTGTATTGTGGAGAGTATCCGCGACGCCTTGCTGACTGCCGCAGCAGCTTGTTGGCAACAAGCCGCTCAGAAGTTCCGGCATTGTTGCTGGAACTTCAATTCTGGGTCTATGGAGACTCCCAGATTTTTTTCTGCCGTCACCTGTTCCATTCAAGTGCCCTTCAGATGATAGGCTTGCTGGGAGTTCTGACGACCAATGTGTAGGACCTTGCACTTGCCAGCATTAAATTTCAGCTTCCATTCATCCACCCAGCATGATGCAGCGTCCACTGTCCAGGTGCCTCTGAACATAGGTGGCGGAACAGGGAGGGCACAGGGGCACCGTGCCCCCCTTTGATTTTGACATTTTAACTTTAGCCCTTTGGGCATTGCATGGGAAGAATGGGACCAAAAGTCGGCAGTGCCCCCCTTACTTGAAGGTGTTCTGCCGCTACTGCCTCTGAAGGGCTAGAGGGCCAGATGGGGCGTGAACCGAACAGTACATGTGCTTATGATAAGTGTTAGCCTCTGACTGGGGAGCCAGTTTCACTAATTAGCCTGCATGCTGGTGATTTCAATTCAACAAGCCTCTGCCAGAGTCACAGCAGGCAGCAGGGGATGACCAACATGATTGATGGGACCACCAGCCCTGGCCTGGTTGTTGTCATGGTATGAGTTTGGCACAGTAGGTATCTAAATACTCAAATAAAAGCATCTGAATGGGTAAAACTCAATTAGAATAAATCACACAAGAGTCACATCGAAATTCGAAACGAACATCGAGAGTGTCACACGAAACCACCAAGCAAGCCAAAACGTTCAAGGAAATGTAAATATGTATTGCTTTTCCACGATTAAATATAAAAATGACGTCATCGTTATTATTACACAGACTCACAAAATTCAATAAATTTGTGTTTTCAGAATGATTGAAGTTGTGCTCTATTTGTTGAAGACTATTTTCGATACACTTGATTTCGTTTTTTCACATCCCATACGGTAAAATGCCAAATGAAAAGCACGACTACCTTCCATTGATCAATGAAAGAAAAGACGTCATTTTATCGTAAACATCAAGCATCGAGACGTAGGCAAAAAGGGCAAAAACCTGTTCTAAAAATCTAAATATTCACTCTTAAGCTCTCCTTAAGCCAATCAACGGCTGCAACTGCTGCTCGCAGGCAATTGTACTCTAGGAATTCGTTCAAAAAGAATAGAATCACGGGAATGAGTCGGTGCCCTGACCCGTGATCGGCGGCCGGCATGTAACGGAAGTTGGCACAGATTCAGCACAGATTCAGCACAGCACAGATTCGGTAGGGGGAAAAAAGGCCCCGGTAGAGGGAAACCTTTATGACCCGTTTTCCCCTAGAAATGACGTCACAAAGAGGTAAAAATGGGTATCAATCGAAAGCTCTCGTTTACCCAGACACAGTCCCGCAGGAAAATTCCGCTTTTTTCCCATAGGAAAGTTTTTACGGGAAAATCAAAATTTTGGGTCAATGGGGGGTCCCCCCCGATTTCGTTCAAAATCGGCACACAGGTGCCCCACCACCAGCCGAGAAACTTTCCCCAAAACGGTCCCCGTTGCATTGACGTTTAAGGCCCTTAAAGCCCCGTAAACTCGTAAAAAATCCGTAAATTCGCCCTTGTACGGCCAAAAACGGGGCGCTATGGTGAAAATGGGTATCAATCGAAAGCTCTCGTTTACCCAGACACAGTCCTGCAGGAAAATTCCACTTTTTCCCCATAGGAAAGTTTTTACGGGAAAATCTAAATTTTGGGTCAATGGGGGGTCCCCCCCGATTTCGTTCAAAATCGGCACACAGGTGCCCCACCACCAGCCGAGAAACTTTCCCCAAAACGGTCCCCGTTGCATTGACGTTTAAGGCCCTTAAAGCCCCGTAAACTCGTAAAAAATCCGTAAATTCGCCCTTGTACGGCCAAAAACGGGGCGCTATGGTTAAAATGGGTATCAATCGAAAGCTCTCGTTTACCCAGACACAGTCCTGCAGGAAAATTCCACTTTTTTCCCATAGGAAAGTTTTTACGGGAAAATCAAAATTTTGGGTCAATGGGGGGTCCCCCCCGATTTCGTTCAAAATCGGCACACAGGTGCCCCACCACCAGCCGAGAAACTTTCCCCAAAACGGTCCCCGTTGCATTGACGTTTAAGGCCCTTAAAGCCCCGTAAACTCGTAAAAAATCCGTAAATTCGCCCTTGTACGGCCAAAAACGGGGCGCTATGGTGAAAATGGGTATCAATCGAAAGCTCTCGTTTACCCAGACACAGTCCTGCAGGAAAATTCCACTTTTTCCCCATAGGAAAGTTTTTACGGGAAAATCAAAATTTTGGGTCAATGGGGGGTCCCCCCCCGATTTCGTTCAAAATCGGCACACAGGTGCCCCACCACCAGCCGAGAAACTTTCCCCAAAACAGTCCCCGTTGCATTGACGTTTAAGGCCCGTAAAGCCCCCTAGACTCGTAAAATATCCGTAAAATCGCCTTTGTACGGACAAAAAAGTGGTGCTATGGTAAAAATGGGTATCAATCGAAAGCTCTCGTTTACCCAGACACAGTCCTGCAGGAAAATTCCACTTTTTTCCCATAGGAAAGTTTTTACAGGAAAATCAAAATTTTGGGTCAATGGGGGGTCCCCCCCGATTTCGTTCAAAATCGGCACACAGGTGCCCCACCACCAGCCGAGAAACTTTCCCCAAAACGGTCCCCGTTGCATTGACGTTTAAGGCCCTTAAAGCCCCGTAAACTCGTAAAAAATCCGTAAATTCGCCCTTGTACGGCCAAAAACGGGGCGCTATGGTTAAAATGGGTATCAATCGAAAGCTCTCGTTTACCCAGACACAGTCCTGCAGGAAAATTCCACTTTTTTCCCATAGGAAAGTTTTTACGGGAAAATCAAAATTTTGGGTCAATGGGGGGTCCCCCCCGATTTCGTTCAAAATCGGCACACAGGTGCCCCACCACCAGCCGAGAAACTTTCCCCAAAACGGTCCCCGTTGCATTGACGTTTAAGGCCCTTAAAGCCCCGTAAACTCGTAAAAAATCCGTAAATTCGCCCTTGTACGGCCAAAAACGGGGCGCTATGGTGAAAATGGGTATCAATCGAAAGCTCTCTTTTACCCAGACACAGTCCTGCAGGAAAATTCCACTTTTTCCCCATAGGAAAGTTTTTACGGGAAAATCAAAATTTTGGGTCAATGGGGGGTCCCCCCCCGATTTCGTTCAAAATCGGCACACAGGTGCCCCACCACCAGCCGAGAAACTTTCCCCAAAACAGTCCCCGTTGCATTGACGTTTAAGGCCCGTAAAGCCCCCTAGACTCGTAAAATATCCGTAAAATCGCCTTTGTACGGACAAAAAAGTGGTGCTATGGTAAAAATGGGTATCAATCGAAAGCTCTCGTTTACCCAGACACAGTCCTGCAGGAAAATTCCACTTTTTTCCCATAGGAAAGTTTTTACAGGAAAATCAAAATTTTGGGTCAATGGGGGGTCCCCCCCGATTTCGTTCAAAATCGGCACACAGGTGCCCCACCACCAGCCGAGAAACTTTCCCCAAAACGGTCCCCGTTGCATTGACGTTTAAGGCCCTTAAAGCCCCGTAAACTCGTAAAAAATCCGTAAATTCGCCCTTGTACGGCCAAAAACGGGGCGCTAGGGTAAAAATGGGTATCAATCGAAAGCTCTTGTTTACCCAGACACAGTCTTGCAGGAAAATTCCACTTTTTCCCCATAGGAAAGTTTTTACGGGAAAATCAAAATTTCGGGTCAATGGGGGGTCCCCCCCGATTTCGTTCAAAATCGGCACACAGGTGCCCCACCACCAGCCGAGAAATTTTCCCCAAAACGGTCCCCGTTGCATTGACGTTTAAGGCCCTTAAAGCCCCGTAAACTCGTAAAAAATCCGTAAATTCGCCCTTGTACGGCCAAAAACGGGGCGCTAGGGTAAAAATGGGTATCAATCGAAAGCTCTCGTTTACCCAGACACAGTCCTGCAGGAAAATTCCACTTTTTCCCCATAGCAAAGTTTTTAAGGGAAAATCAAAATTTCGGGTCAATGGGGGGTCCCCCCCGATTTCGTTTTAAATCGGCACACAGGTGCCCCACCACCAGCCGAGAAACTTTCCCAAAAACGGTCCCCGTTGCATTGACGTTTAAAGGGACCATCCCACCTTAACATTAGTTTTGAGTTGAGATAGCCAAGTTTGCGGCCAGGCTCAGAAACCACCATTTATCCTGGTCGCAACCCCCGCAGCTTTATGGTGTTCAAGAAATTTCTTCCCTTTACTTGCAGGGTGGGACCAGCTTAGTCCCTATCTCTTAACCATTAGCGGTTTTTTGATGACGTCAGCAGTCATTTCAACGCCCGCCATTCCTTGAACCCGAGTTTTGCTGACCTTGAGCTCCCTTTTTTATCAACGTGAAATCCGTCGTCGGCGCTGAGAAAGCCTATTGCTTTTCATTTTAATTTGAATATTAGAAGATACCCACCACTGGAACTTGGACTGATATTATACCAAGGCCGAAGATGATCAAGCTGCCTGCTATATCTGGAGCTTGGTGTTCAACTTCAACATGGAATAAAAAACAAAATATCAAAGCAAACTGGATATGGTACTGCAAGTTAAAGTCCAAAGAAATTTGAAGAGCTGACAATTGACATTAATTCTTTCCCTGCAAGGTTTCCATATGGAGATCACAGTCACACCATGAAGAAATATTTTTGATGTTAACAGTTGAAAGGGGATTTATCTTCCAGTTTAGACGAAAGACGCTGCTGACTGTCTTTGGAAAAGGATGTCGGCATGAGGTGCAATTGTGCTTGTGAAGTGGTTATAACTGGTCTTTTCACAGTATTAAATTGAATGTGCCATTGCAGCCAAGTGTGTTATCATGTAAGGTAAAATCAAAACTACAATGTTGGTTTTACGAGCATTGAGAAGGCTGGTAGGTAACACCTGCCTGTGCTCGTAAATCATGCTGCCAGAGTATTCTAAATTAATTTTATCATACACTTTTGTTGTCCAGAATGGTTGCACTATTGTTTGGTATCATATTATTCCATGTAAATATGGTAGTGTAAAGTCCGACCAACATGTTACCAGATTTGAAGCTGTTACGTTACCTAAGTACCTGTTTTTTACTGGCGTGGTGAATGTCACCTGGATTTTGTTTTGAGGTGCAGACCTAGTAACTCTGACTACATGGGTTTGAAGCTATTATCTATTCTGTTTTTACTGGCCTGGTGAATGGCGACTGATGTTGTCCGTGGATGGCACTGAAACAAATTTTGAGTGTTTTGTACAGTGTTTTAATACAATGCTGAGGGCTGAAAGTTGTCTTGTTTAGAGTGGTGAAAGTTCAGGATATGCCAGCCACCATGGTGGGTCAGAGTTAAATGTGTTGCAGTCAGTTCGGCTTCGGCAAGCACACGGATGGGCATACGCATCGAGACCTGCTCTGCCATACTTTCAGCCAATTTTACCTAGGTAAGTCTTTTCTTTTTTCTGCCAAAAGCTATGACATTGTGAATTTCAGCACTGTGGCCTGTGTGTAGCTTTCAGGAAAGCAATTCTAAATAAAGCTCTGATAAAGTGCAAAATCAGCAATGCAGCCCTCTATTACATTTTCTACAACATCTTACTTGTTCCTTGCATGGAGAGAAAAATGCAATGTTATGAATTCGTTTATTCACATAATTTGACAAGCATGCAGTTACCTGCTACTATCACTGCACAAAACAGAGCAGAAAACATCAGTTGATCAAACACAAGACATAACAGAAGTTTACAACATAGGGCTGCCGAACC